TTTCGGTGAATGTATTTGTGGTCTATCTCCCCCCTTTACTGTCAGCCCACACTTTAATATTTCTTGTAAGGGGTTTTTTGTAGGTACTATAGAAAAAAGTTTTCTTTTTATCTACTCTGACAGCCTCTGTCTTTTTTTTTTTTTTAAAGATTTATTTGTGCATACAGAACTGGGGTACAGGCCAGAGGCTCAGGGGCAGCGAGAGGCTTCACCAGAGACAGAGTGGGGAGCAGAACAGGCAGATCGATGAAGTACACTGCTGAGGGGAGCAGCGGGCTGGTCAGGAGAGGTCTGCCGCGCCATGTGGTCACCTCCCGGGCAGGGATCGAACTAGTGCTGCAGTGGCTGTGGTAGCTTCCTAGTGCTGCCCTGTTGTGCCACCAGGGAAGGCCCACTTTTACCATGTTTTAAGATTCCTTCTTTTCTTAGTTCCTTTCTGTTTGGAGAATATCCTCTTGCCTTTCTTTTAGAGTAGTTCTGCTCGTAACAAATTCCCTTAGCTTTCCTTCATCTGAGAAGAACTTCATTTCCCTTCATGAAGATTATGTTTGTTAGATACAGAAATTTAAAGATTATTTATGCACACAAGAACTGGGTTCTAGGCCAGAGGTGCAGGGGGTGAGAGGATTCACCAGAGACAGTGGGGAGGAGATCAGGCAGATCTACTGAAATACACTGCGAGGGGAGCAGCAGAGACAGAAAAGGTCTATTGAGCCATGTGGGTCAGTTTCCTGGCGAGGGATTGAACTCAGGCCACAGTGGCTGGCGACGTTTAATAGTGCTGCCACTTTAACCTCTGCAGCACGAGGGAGGCCCACTGAAACCAATTTTTTTTTATAAGAAATCCACTGTAGTCCTTTTCTGTGAGTGAATGAGTAACTGGCTTCAGTTTTTCTGTGTTTCATTTTTTGGTGCTTGACTATGATGTGTCTAGCATGAATCTCTTTAATTTTACCTGTTTGAGGTTCACTTAGCTTCTTGAGCCTGAAGGTTTATGTCTTTTGCCAAATGTGGGGAAATTTCAGTCATTATTTCTTGCAACCTTTTTAGTATTGCACTTTTTCTGTTCCTCCTAGGATTCTCATGGCATGACTTTTGATACGTGGGGAAGACAGGCTCCTAAATCTTCTGTTACTGTCCCACAAACCCCTGCGTCTCTATTCATTTATTTTTTCACTGTCCATATTGACCAATTTCTACTGTCCTAGCCTCATGCTGTTGGGTCTATTCATTGAATTTTTTATTTCAATTATTGTATTTTTTGGTTCAAGATGTCCATTTAGTTCCTCTGAGACTTTTTAATTTTCATTTATTTCAACCATGCTCATAATTAGTTATAGCATCTATAATGGTTGATTTTAACACCCTATCAGATAACTAACACTTCTGTCATCTTTGTGTTGGCGTCTATTGACTATCTTTTCTCATTCAAGTTGAGATTTTCCTAGTTTTTGGTATGATGAGTGATTTTCATTTGAAATATGAATGTTGTAAATATTATAAGACTCTCAATCTTACTCAAATCACCTCTTTAGTACACACCTCTGATGCAGCAGGGGAGGAGTAGCTTCCTTGTTACGGTGAGTGGGAGCTCGGATTCTCTGCTCAGCTTCTGTTGATACGGGGGGGAGAAACTCCTAGTGACTGCTGAGCAGGACTGGCACTCCAGCTCCCCTCTGGGCCTCCTCCGATACTGCCCTTGCTGGGAAGGTCTAGGGCACCTTGCTAGTGCTTTCCACATGACCTCCACTGTGAAGGGCAACTTTGGACTACCCAGAAAGAGGCCAGTTTCCCCATTTGCCTTTCTCTGACCAACTCCTCCTCACCCCCTCACCCCTCTGGCCACAGGCAGGGGTGTCAAGGTGCCTCATTACAGACTGACAAGTGAAAATTTGGGCTCCCCTCTTGGCCTTTGCTTTTGGGTAAGGCCCCAGTTTGACTAAAGAACAGGAGTTACCATTGATATGTTCTGCTTACTAAGTTGCTTTCATGGTTTTTGACTAAAAAGAATAGAATTTCCTTGGGAATTTTTTTTATTCCAGGCCACCAGCTTCGTCAGCCCCGCCTGGAATGTATGTGCTTTCACTATTATCTCTCCATTTGCATTTGTCTACTGTTGAGGTCCATACTATATTTTTTATAGTATTTTTTATATTCATTAGTTCTGGTTGGTGGCGGTCTCATATTTTCTCAATCTTTATCATGTTTCTGATACATCGTTTGCTTTTCTTAATTCAGCAAGCATGATTATAGCTCCTACTTTAAACTCCTCTTCAGTTCTGCTGGACTGAGACTTCTCAAGGCCTTTCTGCTCCACTATTTGTGATATGTTCTTCTGTTTCTTCACTTTTTCTTTTCTTGAGTCATAATAAGGGGGGTGGTTCCTTGTCATCTAAATAGATTGATTTTATTTCCTCTCATAAAGAGCTGGATATAATCCTACGTTTTCTAACCAGGATTTTTAGGTGTCTATTATTTCGGATTGCTGACTTTTCAACTGTTCAGATAACTGGGGCACTGGTGCCAGAAAGGGGTAATAAGTAGGAAGGATCCAGGGCAATAGGACACCACAGTGTCATCTCCAGTGACCATCAAGGGTTCAAGCTTCCTATGGGGCCACAGGTAGCTGAGTTGTGTGGTGGGAAGCCACAGTGATCCCCTCCTGCAACCAACTCCTTAGTCAACATGTTCTAGTGCACACTCATATCAGCCTCCACTTCCAGACTGTGATTGAGCACTAGAGACAAGAAGAATGTTCTTGCTTTTTTTTATGGCGCCTCACCTTGGGGCTCTATAATTAACACCCAGGTACTTGTGGTCTGATTAGTGAGATCAGTGAATCAGTGATTCTGTTTTGGCCCGAGGTTAAGAATAAGTTACTCATTTCACGAATCAGTCTCAGGGTGAAAATGAGCCTCTGCTACGAGAAGACACATGATCAGATCTGGCTCTCCCCACTATTTGGGGCCCCAACTGTTTAAATTAGAAGTCTCAGGTTCAAGCCAGTATTCATCACTCTGAATCCTTGCTAGTTCTCTAGTAACGTTCCCTCCTTCCTACACACCGTGTACCCCCCTTCACCCATGTCATATGGAGTCTCCAAAGCAGCAAAGTGGGAGCGTGTCCGTGAGGTAACAAGAGAGCCTCTGTACAGCAGCCACCGCCCTCTCAAGGATGGCACTGCCCCAGCATCACTGCAGACAATTCAATTTCCATTTCCCTACCCCACCCCTTTGCACTGTTGCTCCTGATGAATGCAATAGCCACTGTTTGTTGACTTTGTTTTATTGTAATTTGTGAATATGTGGAGGTGAGACTGCAGCTTCACTCTGCCACCATCTTGCCAGACTTCTTTAAGATGTTGGGCAGTGGGTTTATAGTTTTCAAGGTTAGAAAATGCTTGATTATATTTCTTCAGATAGTTTTTTCTGTTCCCCTTTCCTTCTCTACTTCACTTACACATATATTAGTTAAAACTGTTTGAATTTTTTCCACAGCTCACTGCTAAATTAAACTAATACTTATGTTCTTTTTCACACCATGTTTCCTTTTGGATAGTCCCTACTGGTATGCTTTCTTAAACTTGCTTTAAGTAACTCGACTATGAAAAACACTTTTGCAGTCCAGGGCTCTTTTCTTTATTTTACACCTATTAGGCCATGAATTCATAAGGCATAGGTTCCAGCAGCTCAGGCTCCTTGCCACTAGATCTCACAAATGGAGAACCAATCTCCATTTCTCTGGGTGGGGCAGGCTGGCATTTCAGCTGAAACCAAGTACCTTTTTCTTTGACTTCCATCTTTGCTCATTTCCCTTCACATGTTTAAGGAAGCTCTCTCAGCTTTTGGAGTAGTTAATGTGCTCCCTTTTAATTTCTTGGCAAAAATGTTACCATTAACTTGATTGTTTACAACAATGCTGACAGCACTCTGGGTAACACTGTAGACTCCTCCAGTTTTGCCAACATTACATTTGTGGAACATTCCGTTTTGAATCAAAGTGCTGATCCCCTCGATGCCTATAATATCGTCTTTAGTGTAATTGCATGTTTTCTAACAACAAAAATGAAGTGAAACAACTCCATCTGGCCCTCCCTGATGGCGCAGCGGGTTAAAGCACAGCACTGAGAATCTAAAGCCGCTTCCGCATGAGTTCGATTCCCGCCTGCCTGCTCCGGAGGTGACCACATGGTGTGGCAGACCTCTCCTGACCCACCCACTGCTCCCCTCAGCAGTGTACTTCGTCGATCTGCCTGTTCTGCTCCCCACTCTGTCTCTGGTGAACCCTATCACCCTCCGCATCTCTGGCTTGTACCCCAGTTCTGTATGAATAAATAAATCTTAAAAAAAAAAAAAAAAAAAAACTCCATCTTTTATGAAAGTCTCAGAGAACTGGGCCCAGAGGCTGGATGCCTCTCCCCTGACCAGGTCCCAAGGCAAAATGGTCATAGACAGGGTCGCAGATAAAGTAAGTGAAATTTCACTCTAACAATCCTTTCAAAAAGTGAGTTGTAGTTCTCCTTTGGCTCTTGGAGTGGCGGTTTGGCGTGTCGGGTTCTTGCTGGACTTAACAGCTGACAAGCTGTTCCAGCAGTAGGGGCTTGCTCTGACTCTATTTTACAAGAGATCCAGAGAAGTCAAATTTCACGAGCCCAACAAGCAGGTCTCCTGGCCCCGAAGCAGGGCCAGCCGTGGACAAAGGCAGAGAGGAGGCTTGGTCGCAAAATTTTAGGAAACGCTAACACTCAAGGTTTCTGCAAAGGCAGTTCGCGGCGAGAGCGCCTCCGGGAACTGGTTCCCTAACCCTCAAAGGACCCCAGCAGCCTAGTCCGAAAGTCCAGCTTAGTCAGGCGGCGAGAGCGCCTGGCCTCCCGCGCCCCGCCGCCCCCTCCGTGACGAGGCGGCGGGGAAGGCAGGCGGCGCCCTTCTATTGGCTGCTGTCGGTGACGTCACTAGAGGGCGCCCGCCTCCGCCCCTGTTTTATTTAGAGGTGCCCGCCGCCGGCGGTACGAGTCACCGGCCTCTGGGAGACTGTGCCAGTGCCCAGACATCCGGTCTCCTTGGACCCCTCAAGCGCTAGCCCTACCGCGCAGGGTGCCCGGCAGCACCAGCCATCTCGGCCCGGTAGGTTGACCCACGGCCCGGGTGGGAGGTGTAACTCGGGCCAGATGGTGCAGGACCTCAGTTTCCCTCCTGACCTATCTTCGAGGACGGCCCTCGACCCGGGTTCCGAGTCTCCCAGGGTGGAGCGGACTCCCGTGAGCGCGCACTGCGAAGAGGGGCTGGAGCTAGGCACTCAGGGAACTGAATGTTCTAGCACAGGGTCTGGACCGAGTGGTGACGGCCGCCGTCCTGTGTGCAAACTCATGCCTCTCAGCTGCAGTGTTTGTGCTGTCTTTGCCGCGAGTTTCTGCCTCTTTGAAGAGCTATTTTCAGCGTCGGATTGAGCCTAAGCCCTGTTGTAAAGGGGTTACTGCAGAAGCTTGGGGGCTGATACGGTTGGTGCTTATGTCATCTGTTGGCAGGTGACTTCACCTCTGTGCCCCCTTCTGTAAAGTAGGGCCCTTTACTTGAGGGATTCCTGTAGGGCAGAATAAGAACCTGCATGTGATTGTCATGTGGAAAGGCGCAGTCCACAGGACCTGGTGGTATCTTGGGGAGCAGGTGATCAGCTTTATCCCTGAGGCAGCAAACAGCAGACCAGTTTCCCCAGTCATAGTGGACAAAGTGTGCATAGATCTCTAGACCCTCTGTGTTGGAGCACCCATCCTCTACTACCCCAGGATCTGTTAACTCAAGCCAGTGTCACCTGGACTTGGGTTTAGGTCCCAACTCTTCCCTTTCTTTGGGAAGGTGGACAAATCTGCAACCTCTCTTAAGCCTTAGTTTTTTCCATCTGCAAAATGGGGCTAACAGTTACCTATCTTCCGCAAGTGTCAAGACAGTTAAACCAGACATTGTAGGTAAAGCACTTAAATTAAGACCTTAAACACTTAAAATTAGGCGGGAGCATTTACGTTATTTAGTTTGTGTGCATATACACGGGTCTAACATGTCATTAACTGAACATGGCAAACTGAATCATCAGGATAAGGACTAGTAGTCTGTTACTAACTCCAGGTTCCTGAGTATAAAGGGCTACTTTTAAAAGTGAGGAAAAGTTCAAGGGGGAGGGAGTGTTAGGCTTGGAGCCCAACTTAGATTGGAAATAAAACAACAAATGGAGCTGGTCTTGAGTGGGACCTGGAATTCAAATCAGGGCCTGAGCACAGCTGATGCCTTCTAAGTGTTTTGAGGAGGGACCGCCCAGCCACACCTCCCAAGGTTGTTAATCACCAAGCTTTTCTAGCTAGTGAAAAGCCAAGTCCCAGCTTTTGGCATATTGTTGAATAAGTATATTCAACAAAGAATAGTTGAGCGCCTTCTGTGTACCAGGTACACTGCTGGGCGCTGTCAACACAACTGTATAAAAGACTGACATGGCTTCAGAACCCAGAGAAGAAATTACCTGTCAGGCCCAGCTTTGCCCTTTGCAAGCTTTTTCTCAGGAAGCCTGTGCTTCAGCAGGAAAAAAAAAAAAAAAGAATTACTATCTGGGGAGGTGGAGGACAGGGTTGCCTAGAAGACGAGGGCCGCCTGTTAGAGGTTCTAGCTTGGCCATATGAACAAAGGGACAGCCTTTTAAGTAGGCGAATAACAGGAGCAATTTGGTGCTTAAAAATTTGCCTTATGGCAGCAGTGAAACCAGTTTCACCACTGGTCTCTTGCCCATGCTGGGCCCCTACTTTTAGCTGATTCCTGTTCTTACTCATTTTTATCCCGGTCAGTTCAGCCCATCATTACTTCTCAAGAAAATAGGCAAAGGCAAGGCCCTTGGTCTTCACGGCAATAGCCCCAATTGCTGAATTTTACTTATGGCCTTATTGACATCGGTCTCCCCTGCAAGCAGAATGGCAGGGCTAACCCCAGTGCTCAGTGGTGCCAGGTATAGTATGAGCTTCACAAAGTGCTGGTTGAAGGAACACTGGAATCGTGGTTACTAGCTAAGTCCTGGCATGAAATGGTCACTCTAGAAACTGAGGATGTTTCACTGCATGCACTGAATTGAGCAAAAATTTACCTTATTAAGTATAAAAGCTGAAATAACTTACAAATCTAGAACATTTCCCAGGTGGTATCACAGGAATGACTGATGGGGTGAAGGGGCTTGGGACAACTCTAGGAGCTTCAGAATCTTGATGAGAGTTCCCTTGGATGCACGTTTTCCTCCCTAGGCTCTGATGCTGGCCTCTGGTAGAAGATTGCTCACAGCTCTGCTGCAGGCTCAGAGGTTGTGCTGTCAACCCTCCAGAGACATGAGACTGGTGCAGTTTCAGACATCCAACCTGACGGGACCCCACCTAGGCCTGGAGTCAGGGAAAGGTGGGGGAGTCATCAACCTCAATGCCTTTGACCCTACACTGCCCAAGACGATGATGGAGTTCCTGGAGCAAGGTGAAACCACGCTGTCTGTGGCAAGAAGGTAAATCTACAGGCAGCATCACCTGCAGCTGCTGCTCTGTTGCCTTCTCCACCCCACCCCTAAACCCTACCCAGCAGATAATCGCATTTTTTCTCCCCACCTGTTTTTAGTGAAGTGCCTAAAACTCTTTAAGGCCTCAGTTTACAGAGGGGGAAACGGAGGCCCAGGGCATGTTATTAACTAACCCAAGACCACACGTTTGGTGGTGTAGCCAGAACTATATACTTCATCACATTACATTCTCCAGGGATTTAAGTCCCTGGTAGCCTGAGGGATCTGGAACTGGGGCCCCAGAGGCATCTTGTGATCCTAGAGAAGGGATGAGATTTTTGACTCCTTATTAAAGAGAGCCATGCAAAGAGGTTTCCTTAAAGATGGTTCTTGGGTTTGGCTAGATTAGGTATGAACTCCCTAAAGCAGGGAGATATATAGAGTCTGGCCCCAAAGTGTTAATGAGCTGTAAAATAAAAGCCACTTTAAGATAGCCTCTTCACTTATTAAACTGGCAAAAATGTAGATGCTTGATACTACAGTGTTGCAACAGCTTACCATAATGTCATAATCTCAAAAGATTGACAACTACTTTCATGTACCTCAATAAGGAAGGCACAATATTATCTGTATGGTGCAGTAATATGCAGCCATACAAAAAGAGGAGGCTATATACTGTAATGAAGAGCTCTCCAAAATATGTATGTAAATGTAAGAGGTGACTGTAGCATGTTTTCATTTGCATAAAAACAATAGAAGGTAGCAGTGGACTAAATGTAGTGTATACACATTTTCATTTTCAGTGCTGCACACCTGAAACTAAAATGAATGAATAGTAGAAGTGTGTCCTTAGAGCACAGTGACTGGAGTAGAGAGACTAGGAGAAGGGAGAAGAGGCCTTTCTATTATTCCTACTTGAACCTTTTGAATTCTCTCACCTGGTGTGTGTGTGGACATGTATTGCCTACAAGGGAAAGAAATCAACACTGGAGAGGCAATAAACAGCATTCCAGTATCAAAGGACAATAGCTTGGTTTTCACCAGTGGCTCTGGTGGTTGATAGGTATTATAAAGCACAACTTGGACCTGCAACATGTCCTCAGTGCACCCAGTATTAACAGCCTGCCCCAACCCAGCCTCTCTCCTGCTTTGGTCCCTGCAGAGCCTTGGCTACCCAACTGCCAGTCTTGCCACGGTCAGAGGTGACCTTCCTGGCCCCCGTCACACGGCCAGACAAAGTAGTGTGTGTGGGCATGAATTACGTGGACCACTGTAAAGAGCAGAATGTGCCTGTGCCCAAGGAGCCCATCATCTTCAGCAAGTTTGCCAGCTCCATCGTGGGGCCCTACGACGAGGTGATCCTCCCACCTGAGAGCCAGGTTAGTGCCTCCCCTAGTCCCTCCTCAATTCCTGGGGCCCCTCACCAGCGTGGTCAGCACTCAGCAGAAAGGAGCCCTGTCACTCACTAGCACATTAAACAACAACAGGATTACAACCACCCATATTCCCACTGCCCAGGGCTTGAGAGGTTAATGCTGTACTGTTTATCTTCCCAGCATTTTTTTATTCCCGTGTGTATTTATATTGTCCATATAACCTACCATTTACTTAAGACCCCGTCAGGAACATCTTTCATGCCAAAAAATTTTTTCCCCTGCAGGTTTTAGGTTACTGCTTGGTTTTCAGTGGCCCTGATCTATTCAGTAGTCCTCTGTTGAAGGACACTTGTCTCCAGTTTTTAGCTTTTATAAGTAATGCTGTAGTGAACGACACTAGTGAAAAGACTGCATCCATCAGTGGGCATGCTTATTTCCTTTTAATAATTAGCCTGCAGAATTTGGGGGTTGGTGTTATAGTATAGGCAATATTCCAGAACTTTATCCAAAGTGACCTTCAGAAAAGTTACAAAAACAATTTTACATATCTACCAGCATTGTCTATAACCCATGCTGGCACTGCTTAGGTTTTTCTAAATTTTTATTTTAAAAATACTTTGAAAATCATAAAGTTGAAAAACAGTACAGTGGACACTCTTCACCTAGATTCACTGCTAGCATTTTGCCATATCTGCTTCTTTTGCCCTCTCCTCTCACACCTCCTCTCAGTCACCCCCACTCCTCAGATGCACACAGTTTTTGGAGGATAGAGGGATGAAACTCTCTGAAAATAAGTTAGACATGAAGACAGTCACGGAAACCTCACATGTACCTTCTATGCATAAGGACATTGTCCTAATGAACTCAACACCATTCTCGCAACTAAGAAAATGAACATCATAAATAACATGTATTTAAGTTGGGAATTTATCTGAATGCCCCCAAAGATACTTTAATTTGGAACCTTTTTTTGGGAACTATTTGGGAACTATTCTTTTTTTTTTTTTTAATCTAGGGTCATTAAGGCTACAAATGGTTATCGCTTTCATGACTTTAGATCAGAAATCCATAAACTTTTTCAAAAAGCCAGTTAATACATACTAGGTTTTGGATGCTACATAGTATGTTACAACAATTCAGCTTTGCAGCTATGGCTGATGCATAAATTAATGAACATGCCTGTGTTCCAGGAAGACTTTACAAAAACAAATAGCCAAGCTGGCTTTAGCCCACAGACCAGAATTCTGACTCTTGATCACAAACATTCCCCACCCCTGTCACTTTCATGAGTGACCTTAAGAGAAAGCAGGCACGTTGAATTATAGCAAGTTCCAGTCTGGATTTGTCCTGTTGTTCTGTTATTACAATCAGGTTAAATATTTTTTTTTGCCAAGAGTTGTTATTACAGTAGTCCCAGCCAACCAAAATACCTGTAACAAAATACCATAAACTAGGTGACTTACAAAAAAACAAAAATTTATTTCTCACAGTTCTGGAGGCTGGGAATTCCAAGATCAAGGTGCCAGCAGATATGGTAGCTGGTGAGGGCCCACTTCTGATCCAAAGACAGCTGTCTTTTCACTGTGTCCTCACAAGGTAGAAGGGGCAAAGGAGCTCTTTGGGGCCTTTTCTAAGGGAACTAATCCTATTAATGACCATGTCACTGCTCAAAAGCTTACAATGCATCCGGCTGGGAGGCCCCTGTCTTGGTTCACCCTGTGTTCACTAAATCTCCCTTGTAAAGGTACCTTTCTCTGGGGATTAATCAGCTATCTATGGGGTAGTATCTGGGACCAAGTTACGTCTTCTTGCCCAGCTTTTCATCCAGGGGCCCTCTGTTCAGCCTTATTTGAATCCATTATTCTATTTAGGGTTAGAAGAAAGTGACTTTTCTATCTACTCTTATTAGCTGGCATCCTGTGATGTTCCCTTTTACCCCCATCCCTTTAGTGCACTGTGAACTGATTTTTACGTATTACATGGTAAACCACTTACATTCTTTTCGACACTCAAATGGTCTCACTTTGACCAGTGCAGCCCATCACTTTCTGAACACTTTCTTGTTTTCTGGCCAAGATACTCTGGTTCATCATCTGCTCTCCATCTTGGAACTAGATTAGTTATTTTCCCCAAAGAACCGTTTTTTTTTCTAGTGGGAGCAGTTTGAGACAGCCATGAGTGTCAGGTATGCTTCTGACAGCAGCCCTGGTTGTTGCCATTAGAATGTTATATGCACTTTGCTGATTATGAAAGGCTGTGGACACGTCGTCACTTTCTGTGTATATTTTGGTGAACTGTTCAAGAGTTGCCTATGTTATTAATTGTTGATCTCTATTGCCATCACTTAAGTTCTATATTAAGACATTTCAAAAACCTGGTTCACCATAGGTTAACTATTACTACTTGGTGTCCACCCTTTTTGGGAATTAACAAGAGTGACTTTTAAAATGTCCCCAGACAGGTGTGACTGTATAACAATGGGGAGATGTACCTGCATCTACTGTGGTGATCACAAAAGTGGTCTGCTGATCCCCACTGTAGGGAACCAGGCCCTGAGAGACACAGTATGCAGCCTCTTAGTACAGGAAGGGCCCCAGTGCCAAGCAGTTCACTGCTTGTTTTCCACTCTACAGGAAGTGGACTGGGAGGTAGAGCTGGCCGTGGTGATTGGAAAGAAAGGCAAGCATATCAAGGTGAGGTGGAAGGGGTAGTGCCATCTGTCTGACTTTGGAGGTGTCTGTACCTAGCTGCTTCCAGACTATCTTGCCCTTCACCTGCGACCTTTGATTAGCTGTGAGAGCCTTCGTTTGGGGTTGGCGTCATTATCTAACCTGCAAACTAGCAAATCCCCTGCCCCATAGGCCACAGATGCCATGGCTCATGTGGCCGGCTTCACAGTGGCACATGACGTGAGTGCTCGTGACTGGCAAATGAGACGCAATGGAAGGCAGTGGCTGCTGGGAAAAACCTTTGACACTTTCTGCCCCCTGGGCCCTGCCTTGGTGACCAAGGACAGTGTGGCAGGTAGGTCTCTGACAATATACCTGGGACTCTCCTTCCTACTCTTGCACAGGTGCATCAGAGTAAAGGGGGGAGAAGCAGGGAGTGTGGAATCACCTCCCCAGCTGCCTTTTGGTGATTCCTGAGAGGGCAAGTCTCTGAGCCTGGGCCTCAGATACTCCAGGGGGCTTCTTTCCCTACTCCCACACCAGAGAACTCCTACCACAGAGGTAGTTCTGCAGATGGAAAGTGAATTGTAAAGAACAGTGCTCCCTGGTAGGTGGATCAGGCTTCCTCTAGATGTCAGCACCTGGAAGAATCTGCGTTTGAAGGAGGCAAAGCTGGCCCTTGAGCATCACACAGAATGGCTGTCATAGGCCCATGTACTTTTCACAACACGGCAACACCAGCCACAAGTAAGTGCACAGTGAGCCAGGACTCAGCCATCTGGGCAGTAGCATGCCCAGGTGGTTCAGCCCCACACCATGCACTCATCAAGGGCATTCAATTCTCTTTGGCTGCCTTCAGGTGTGCCTATGAGTGTAAGACACTGACAGCCAATAAACAATGTTGCTTAAAGCCAAAAAATTAGCCAACTTTTCTCTCCCTAAGGGTCTGGGACTTCTTAACTCTCTGACAGGCACCGTATAAGGGGATGGATTCACAGGTCTGAGAGCAGTGTCGACAAGTCACCAGGCCTCCCTGTACTTTTGTTTCTAGTTGAGTGTAGAGGACCGAGGGAGTTGGGGGGGGAGGGGAGGAGGTGGAGAGAGAGACCCTAGGCGGTTATTGCATTCCAGATCCACACAACTTAAAGATCTGCTGCCGAGTAAATGGAGAAGTGGTCCAGAACAGCAACACCAACCAGATGGTGTTTAAGACAGAAGAGCTGATAGCCTGGATCTCCCAGTAAGTGCGAACAGAGCCCGTTCCCATGTACCCACCTGGAGGCTGAGCCCACCATCCCTGACCGTCCACCTCAGCCCTTAGTCTCACCTGACTCTTTTGCCCCAGGTTCGTCACTCTTTACCCAGGGGATGTGATTCTGACAGGAACGCCCCCGGGTGTTGGTGTATTCAGGAAACCTCCTGTCTTTCTCAAGGTAGGTTGGCTAAAAGGAGGAGGGGGGCCTCAAAGACTTGGGAAAGCCAGGAGACCAAGGAAGCACGCACACACGTATGCCTCATACTGAAGGACTGACAGCCCCACGGCTACTCTGTTGCAGAAAGGTGATGAAGTCCAGTGTGAGATTGAAGAACTAGGGGTCATCATCAACAAGGTGGTGTGATGGCTCCTACCACAAGCCCTGGACTTGCCAGGGGCACCTGTTGGGGAGACCCCGGGGTAGCCATGGGCCAGTCCCTCCAAGCCTCCTTTTCCTGGTGAGGGAGAGGAGTTGGAGCACTTTCTCAATAAACCTCTCCAGCTAAAGCAACAGCTTGGCTTTACTACCATTTGTTTTTTAGGGTTTGTTTCTAGGAGCCAGGAAGGACGTTCTTACAGGTGAAGAAGCGAGCAGGTAGACATACACATGCGTATACCCTCCCCTCAAAACTGCTGGGCTTGGGAAAAGAGGGCCCAACCAGTCCTCTCATTTATCACACCAAAAAATGGAGAAACAAGAGATGATCAAAACCTTACAGATTTTATAGTCAACATCCTCCAGTGTCCCAGCTCCAGTCTGTGGCTGAGAAGTCTTCAGCAGGGTGCCACCTCACATTTCTAGTTACAAATGAACTGGCAGATGAACTGCTCCAGCTTTTCCTGATTCTCTCGGGTGGCAAATGTAGGAGACAGATGCAGCACAGGGCCTGCAGGGCTGGGCTTCTGCTGCAGTACCTGAGCCATAGAGATGGGCTATGAGTGCCCCCACAGGGGCTGACCCCATTTCCAGAAAGCTGGCATGACCTCTGGCCACTCAGGTTACAGCTGAGGGTGCAAGTGCTGCTTCTCAAACTACTTGGGAGTAGGAGCCAATGTTTGCGTGGGCAGAGGGACAGGAAAACCATCCTACCTTCAACTGTTAACCACCTCTATTCTTGGAGGACACTGGGTAAATCCCAGGGTGGGTGCAGCTAGGAGAAAGTGGGACAAGAAAGTGGGGAGACTCACCCCTAGGTCTCTAAAGGTCCAGACAGCACTGATGGCAAGATTTGGGTCTGCACACTCTACAGGAAGAGATATGAGAAGGCTGTAGGGAAAGCAGGCAGCCACAGGAACAGTTTCTCTCTTCCTCATTGCAAGAAGGAACCATCAAGGGCAGGGTTCAGACTGGAGCCAGAGGCCTCTGCACTCCAGCCCTACTTCCTGAAGTTGGGCTGTCACTTTCCAGCAGGGGGCAGCAGCCAATAGCCAGCTGGCCCTACCGCCTGGGAGCCTGGGCTGGTACTCACCAAAGGACCCTTCTTCCTGGGCAGTGGTCTGCAGGAACTGGAACAGTTGCTCCACGTAGCCCGACTCTAAGGGAGAGAAAATGCCTAGACCTGGGGCCCTACACAAGCCCAGCCTCTGCTGAAGACAGCCAGAGAAGTGCAGACCTCACCTGTGTCAGGGAGCTGTCCCTCGTGGAGGAAGGCGGCAGCCTTGGCAAAGGCCTTGAGCAGTGGGCTGAGCAGGCGGCAGAGGAAGAGGAAGAAGTCGGGGCAGCGAGACTGCTGACTAAGCTGGAGGGGTCAGGCAGGGTGAAGGCAGGCCCAGTGCCTCCCTCCTACTTCCCACCGCCCCTCCCCTGGCTTTTCCCGACGTACCCTGAAATAGCGGCCCTCAGCCTCCTCGAAATCATCACTGTCACTATCAGTAAAATCCCCACTCGGTTTCCACAGCAGCTTTGCACTCAAACGCTGTCGCCCTGTGTCACAGGCTGGCCGGGAGCCTGGGGTCTGGGGGCCATGGGAACCATTAATCCCTGTAGGCTGACCCATTTTCAGCCCTGAACACAGGACAGACCAAGGCATACCTGACCATGACACCTGCTGAGCTAATCTGCAGAGTTAAAGAGAGTACCCACCCTCAAGGGTCACGACCCTAGGGAAAAGTGGGGGGTTAGAGTACAGCAGGTGTGCAGCAAAGCTCAGAGGCACTAGTATCCAGTCCTGTCATGTATAGGAGTAGCAGTTATAGTCTGTCAAATCTCAAGGCAGAAAGTGGCAAAGGCAGGACCCAAGAATCCTATCTGCTGGGTGAAGGGGCAACCCAATACCCCCAGCACACAAAGGTCCAGAGCAGCTGTCACTGGGAGGCTAAAGGAGTCTAGATTCCAGGCAGGGGGTTGTCTCCAGCTGTCCTGCCTACCTCCTCAGCAACCAGGAGCCCACACTGGATAAGACGGTCTAGCACCTCTTGACAGTAGCAGTAGGAAGACTGGCAGGGCTGGGGATAAAAAGCATCCAGGTGACCTCAAGAGCCAGGCCGTGGGCAGACAGACCCCTTCCTACAGCTAAGAGAGAGAGAGACCTAGGACTGAGCCGGACTGTGGAAGAGTCCTGACCTGCAGCAGCAGCAGGTCCTGAGGCAGCAAGTGCAGCAACAGCAGGATCTGACGGTACAGCTCATTCTGGCTCAGCAGCTCGATGCCCTGCAGCTCCCAGGGCCCCTCAGGCGGCACTCTGCCTGCCAGCAGCCCTCGCACAGCACAGGCTGGGGAAAGAGCCCAGGTAAGAAAGGCAGCCTTTGCCCTCAGCCCTGCATGCATCCCACCCTCCCCGAGGCAGGGACTCACCACCCACCGCCTCACTCAGGAAGGCGGGCAGCAGCTCAGCACTCAGATGCGCCAGCTGTGTGAGGCCTGGGCCATGCCTTGGAACCACCACCAAGTCGCCCTGGTGGACACGTAGCAGGGCCACGTGTGCTCGCAACAGGCTCAGTGTGTGCTGCACCAGGCAACGCAGCTGCCCGGAGAAGCCCACGTCAAAACCACGGAGCAGTGTCTCCTCTGTCAGCCATGAAAACTCCCCCAGGAGCTGCGACAGGAACACGCCCTGAGAGGGCAGTGCAGAGAGTGAGCATGAGGGCCGCCCTCGGCCCTCAACCCCCACCACGCTGTGCCTACCTTCTGGTGCTTGAACAGCAGCAGTGTTGCCATGATGGCTGTGCTCATCACTGCCGAGCTCATGACGCTGGCTGGGGCCGGGGGTGGGAATACTGCTCAGTGGCCTGGCATCACCTAGCCAGCTTCCCCAGCCAACACTTCTCCCTGCCTCCTAAGCAGCAGCCACCCCAACCTACCCACCCAGTTCCACCTCAGGGAAAGGCAGTGTAAGCCTGTCTTTAAATGCCAGTTCTCTACTGCGAAGGGAGCCACTCAAACATATGCCTACAGCCAGGTAGGGAGCTTGGACCTTGCCTGCTCTCGTAGGCCCGCCCACTAACCCAGTATCTGCCTCAGAGGTACAGTTACAAAGATAATTCTCCTGCAGTGCTAAGAGGGCTCCTAAGTCCCTCACATGCATTATTCCATTCAGCTGTAACTTCAGCTGTAACTCCCATTTACAGCTAAGAGGGACCAGGTTCAGAAAAGTGATGAGCCCCAGGGCAGGCTGGTGTGTAACCTCAGATAGGTGTTTGGCCTTCCCGTTCCTCACGATTATGGTACAGAAACTCACCTGGGCCCTGATGACTAGCTGGTCCAGAGAGGAGGGAATGCAGGACTCCCCCAAATGCCCAGACCTAATTCCTACTTACCATTCAGGACATGACGGCTCAGCCTTCTGACCAGGAGCTGGTCCTCTGCCTTGAGGGCCAGAAGGGGCCCAGTTACTGGGGTCCACTCCTGTTCCTTTTCTGTGTCTGGGACAACAGTACTGGAATAAAGACACAGATGACGGGATGAATGGACCAAGTGTAAAATCAGTCACGGGGAACCTAGTTTTCTCAAAGGCATTTTTCCATCCAGCCCCAAGGTGCTGTTCTAGATGACCCAAGGATGTTTGGTGAGGGAAAGCTAGAGCTGGTGATGCTTCTGTGTGTTGAGGGGAAAGGTGCCAGCCAACAAGCTGGGGGCCAAAGGGCTGTACCTATCTTGCCCCCAAGACCCACACGTGTTGCTCCCCTACCATTGGCCCAACACAATGGGCTGCAGCAGCTGCTCCAGGGTCTGCCTGCTGCCCCAGCAGCTTCTGGCGTTGATGGTGTATTCCTGCCCAGGACAAGGCTCTTAGATGGCCTGCCCTGGCCCACCAGGAAACCTACTGCAGCCCACTGAGGTAGGCAAGGCCGACCCAGCTCTCAGCCTTGCCTGGCAGGTTCCCTACCTTCAGGGAGAAGGGCTGAGCCAGGTGCACTCGGGCACAGATCCTACGCCTGGAACCCCACACTCGCAGGCTCCGCAGGACAGCCAGAGCTCCTGTCCACAGCCCCAGAGGGACGAAGGCCTGCAGGGAAGAAGGGCTGTGTGAGCTGGCTCACCAGAGGCACCACTTTCTCAGCTCATCTTGATCTCAGGTCCAAACTGGTGCATGACAATCTTGACCCCAGTTTTCTCACCCATAAAACAAAAGAAATCCCCCCTTAGTGATGTCTTTTGAGGATGAAGTAAGATGATAACAGTAGAGGACTGAATTCTCTTTGTTATCAACACCCTTAACCCAAGCCTAAGGAGGACTTTGAGCTACAGGTCGCAAAATTATAGTCCTCTTTGGAGATGGTCCCAGGGCAGGAGGGTCTCACGTGTACTTCACGAGATGCATCTGGAACCAGGTCATAGGTGACAGCTGCTGGCACCAGCATAACATCTGGAACAATGCCCCCCTGGACTGCTTGTACCACCAGTCCTAGCCATGCTTGGCCCAGGGCTGACAGCCTCGGCCCCTGGATCCCAGGCATTTCCTCCAGGAAGATGAGCAGAGGCTGCCTGCTGACCAGTAGCTGCTCCAAAGCCTAGAAGGGGCAAGGGTGGCAGACAATAAGGTCACAGCAACAATAAAACCCTGGACCTAGGCCTGGCCCCATCCCAACCACTATGTGCACTCACCGCACGAACCACAGCTCTTGCCAAGACTCCCTCAGAACTGTCCAGGGAGAAGTTGGCCTCTGGGGGCAGAAAAAGCCCCCCAAGTTTCCTCAGCAAAGCTCTGTGGGGCAGAGAAAAGAGCCTAATGAGGGAAGGGGCACAGGAGACTGGACAGAGCCTAAGGCTAGTAAAAGCCGTGGCTCACCCAGGGTTAGCCTGAGGCCTGCCTGAGTACCCTCAGGCCAGGCATGTAAGACCCATCTTAGCCCACAGGCTGAGCTGGCAGATGTCGGGAGCAGAGAGGTCAGGAAGAAGGCCTTTGAAGAGCCGCTACAGCACACCCCCATACATGTCTCCAAACCCTTACCCCTGTCTGGGGACAAGGCATTTTTTACCTGAGGGTAGGGGAGCAGGCCCGGGGGTCCCAAGCCACACGGAGCACACCCAGGCCCTGGGAGAGCAGCACAAAGGGCAGCAGGATCCCATCCAGGAGTGATTTGTGGGTAGAGAGGAGGACAATCGGCGAGCCCTGCTCAGGGAGAGGCATAAGGAAGTGCCAACCTACCCCCATGCTGCAGAATGGAGTAGGTGAACCCTGTACCTCCAGACCCAGGAAAGCCCGAGGGAGAGGGTTCTGCTGAGCAGCTCTTCTGCTGAGCACATTTCCCAAAAGTAGAAGAGCTCTGTCGACAATTTTAAGGTAGTGCACTGATGTAATGGTTGTTAAGACCATGATGAAAAGACGTTAGAGGAAGCCCCGTGGGAGTAGGACCGTGAGACTCAAGAGAAGGTCATCAAAGAGCAATGGATTTTTCCCACCAGCTGACAGCTTGTCCTGACTTAAGGGCTTGGCCTAGCTTCTGCTCCCTCTATCCCCATCCCGATGGACAATGGGCCTTACTGCCTGGGCAGCCTTGTGGACCATCTTCACTTGGCCTTTGTGGAGCTGCACGTTCAGGAAAAGGCAGTTGAGGACCCGGAGCAGTGCCCAGCTGCAGAGCCTGGAGAGAGAATTTGAGGCAGGTCCCACCCTGGAGACAGGAGCCCACGGCATCTCAAAGCCAATGATTATTACTGTCCCCACTTTACAGGAAAGGAGAGTGAGGCTCAGAGAGATTACAGAAGCTGCTGAGCAGTAACAAAGCTGACGAGTGGTGCTGATTCTGGAAGGCAGCCTGAAACTAAGGCCCACACCTCTCAGATGCTAAGACTCTCCCATGTGCAGCTTCTTGGTATCAGCTTCAAAGTACCTCCCTGCCTCCATTTACCCCAAGGGAGTTGAGAAGACTAAGACTTTCCAGGCATCACCCAGCTTGATGTTTGAAACTGCTGGGAAAGGTGAAATAACTGGGGAGGTTAGTAAAACAAGAGGGAAGGGGGTAATCGAAGGGGCAAAGCCCAGGAGTGGGATTTGCCAGAGATCTGAGGGAAAATCAGTTTCAAGTGAAGTGTGAAGGCAAGAAGCATTGGGATGATGGACCAGCAGCATGTCTTCACTGGATAGCTTCCATTTCTCAAAGCATCAGGATGCTTCACAGGTGAGGCCTGCGCTGACAATAGGGAGTCTGAGGAGGAGCTTAGAAGGGGGTCTTGGAGAGATCTTGTACCTTTTTGAAAATCATACTCCTACAGAAAGCTGGTGTAACAGATGTGTCTTTCTCCAGCAATGAGGCTGCTGGAGAGAGAAAGCAGGTAGCTGGGTTCAAAGAGAACAGGGTTGTGCCCAGTGCCATTTTCACAGGAGCATCATCGTGAGAAGCCCCAGCAAGGAAGCTAGCCAGAAGAACAGGCAGGAGGGGCCGGTAGCTGGTATAAAAAGGTGGTCAAGTCTGGCCCTCCCTGGTGGCGCAGCGGGTTAAAGCACAGCACTAAGAAGCAAAAGCCACTTGCACATGAGTTCGATCCCCGCCTGCCCCGGAGGTGACCACATGGTGTGGCAGACCTCTCCTGACCCGCCCGCTGCTCCCCTCAGCAGTGTACTTCGTCGATCTGCCTGTTCTGCTCCCCACTCTGTCTCTGGTGAAGCCTCTCGCCGCCCCTGAACCTCTGACCTGTACCCCACTTCTGTATGTGCAAATAAATAAATCTTTAAAAAAAAAAAAAAAAAGGTGGTCAAGTCAAGGAACTGCAAATCTCAACAGAGTCAAAGAAAGGTTGCAGGGAGGGCTAGTCAAGGTCACTCTCAAGGTCTTCTGCCTGTCCTTGCTCAGTTGACCTCTCAGTGCTTTCAAGACAGCTGAGCCCCACATGCACACCCTGTGCCTTCTTTCCTAGTGACTCATTCATCCCTCAGTTTTAAATATCTACACGCTGAAGCTTTGCCAACGTATGTCCCTAGCCCAAAACTCTCATGAGCTCCAGACTCCTAGAAGCGACTGCCGCCTCAGCCATCTCAAACTCTGTCCAAAACATTTCTGGGGGGCCAACTCACTCCTAAGCCTGCCTCTTCCATCCACCTCCAGATGTACCAAGGATGTGTCCCCCATCCTCCTCACCGTACCACCATCTGCCTCCAGCCCATCAGTAAGGTGACTTCCAACACTTGGTCCTTTTTTCCAACCTCCAGTGACACCAACCAGCCATCTTCACATCTCACTTGGACTTGCCTCCCAGAATGTCTTCTGGTCTCTACTCTTGATCCCAGTTAATCGTGTTGTCATTCCCTACTTAAAACCTTTCGACCGGTTTTTACCGCACTCAAAAATCAACCCCAACTTCTGATATAGGCCTGCACATCTGGTGCCTTCATTGTTCGATTTCATCTCCAACAGCTCGCCCATTCACGTGCCTGTTTCCAACCACATCAATTCCTTGAGCAAAACTGGCAACAGCTCATGCTTCTCTCTCTAGTAGGACTATTTCCCCCATCCTCAGGCCCCCAAGGTTGCTCCTCTTCCTGTTTTGTCCCTGGCTTACAGGTCTTTTCCTTCCTGCTGGGTATTCTTAGTCCTAGCCCAAGCCTGTCCTTCCTGCTGCCATGTGTATGTCTGTCCATTCTGACCTTATTACCTCTTCACTCCCTGGAACAATGTCTTAAATCTAAGAAAAGCTCAGACCTGTGTCAAATGTGGGAGGGAACAGGTGGTAACAGAAGGATGAATGTGGGAAGAGGAGTAAGGCCTGTAAGATCTGGGAGCCCACCACCTCACCTCTCCTGCTCCACAGGAAACTGATCTGAGAAGAAGTGAAAGGAAGGAGTCTGAGCCACAACCAGGAATACTTGGGGGCAACCCCTTAATGCCTACTCACAGGACAGACAATACCCAGGTCTGCAGTGGACTGGAAGCTAGGGGCTGGCTCAGATCAAAGTCCCACCCCCAGTAGAGGCTCAAGAAGTTGATGTGGTTGGAAATAATTGAGAGAGAGCTGCTGGAGATGAAATCAAAAAATTAAGGCACCAGATGTGCAGGTCCATACAAAAGTTTGGGTTGGTTTTAAAGTGCAGGAAAAAACAATTGAAAGGTTTTAAGTATGGAATGACACATGATTAACTGTGAGTAATAGAGGACAGAAGTTCTAAGAGGCAAGGCACCACCAGTCCTCCAAAGGTCTCACAGAATCTAGCTCAAGGGCTCCCTTAGGCTCTCTGGCAAACACACCCTCTGGCTCCCCAGAAGAGGAGTCCAGTAATTCCCTAAGCCTAGCCAACACCCACTGCCCAGGGGGCAGAGGACTCAGCCTGCCCCTTAGAACAAAGTTACCTAAGCAGAAAGGAGTGGGACGGGGCCTGGATGTGTCTCAGGATGCGCTGCACCTCTTTCTTCACCAGGCTGGGTACCGGGCCTTCACCAGTCCCTCCTGGAGCCCTCCCTGAGAGGACTTTCTGCACCCTGGTGTGAGAGGAATAGTAACAGGTCACAGCAGGTCACCCAGGGCACAGCCTCCAGCTTCCAGTCTTCACTCTCCCTCTTTAAATAAGAGCCCCAGGCAACACGAACACTCAATAAGTCAGACCCTTCAAGCTCTCCGCCTTCAAGGATCCCAGAAGTGCCAACAAAACCCAGTCCCTGCATCCTCACCCAGTGTTTTCCATGATCTTCTGTGGGACATCATCACGTGGGGGTACATACTGTTCCAGTGACCACAAGAAATAGCAGAGCCTCCGAACAAGCCAGCCCCGAAACCTGGGCAAAGTCCCCAAAGCAGGGGGAAGACCTTTCAGAGGGCCCACCCCTCATTAGACAGAGAGTGCTATTCCATCCGGAAGGGAATCACAGCCCAGGAAACCCCAGGATCATGGCCCAAGAACACAAGAACTTGGTTTATTAGAGAGGAGGCCCATTCCATTCCTCTCTCTGCTGGGTAGCGCACAGATTCAGGGCTTAACAAACAGCAGGTAATCCATAATGCTTGTAAGAGGAACTGCAGGAGAGGTGCAAGCCTGCCTTACCCTGTCCATGGATATGAAGCAAAGGGCAGAAGCCCTTTTTTTTTTCCATCAAGGAAGAAAGTGACACCACTAAGCAGGGTTCCAGGAAACTGGCTTTCAGGTGCCCTGCCCACCTCCATCCTCCAATGTCCCCCCAGCCTCCACGTTCCCCCCACCCCACAGACCCATTTACCTGGTATTCTCCTCCTTCACCAGGATCACACTGCAGAAGCCTAGATCTGTTATGCTTCTGTGGAAAAGGGATTCCTGCCCAAGAGGGAGCAGGGACAGCATGTCCTTGGGGGGGGGCCTTTGGAACCAGCAAAGGAAAACCCCAGTTCTGTCTTCTGTGGTCTTTGCCTGATAAACTATCAAGTCTACTAGGAGACAGGATAACAACACAGCATTCCCAAAAGACTGACCCCAAATCCTGAAGCTAGCTCAGGAGGAAATGTTCTATGATAACAGAAAGACCTTATTCTCTACAGAGGACTTCCCCTACACCCCACGGCACCCTTCCCCTCCCCCGCATTAAAGTAGCGTTAAAGTTTCTGAGAAGTGCTGTAGTCAACAGAAGAGAACAAATAGCCAGAACCCTGGTTCTCCTCAATACCAGCAGGTGGCATGGATGCAAAAGTGGACCTAAAGCATGTGTTGAGTGCCGGGGAACACTGAGTGAGCAGTCCCCAAAACAGAACAATAGGACTCATGTAGTAAACAGGGTTAGATCAAAGACCTCTGGCCACATCCCACCTCCTCTCAGACCCCTCTGCAGTTTCCCTCCCTGCTCTCCCAGGCCTGCAGGCCAGCCACAGGTCAACAATACAACAAATACCAGAATAGCCAATCACTGGAAAGGGCAGAGGCATGGGCAGGGGAAGGCTGACCTCAGAAGGATATAAAGGAAGCTGTTTCCCAGAGCCATGGCTCTCTAGACCAAGCTACCCCAAACTTCCCAGAGTGGGGCAGAGCCTTCATCACTTACCCAGCTCTTAGGAGTGCAGGTCTGGCAACAACGACCCACAAAAGGGCGGTATTTCCCTAAAAAGGGGGTGACAGCCTCCAGCTTCATTCCAAAGCCTGAGGACCACAGGCTGGTCTGGAAAAGGGACATAAGGAGAGATAAGAGAACTCAAGGGGCTTAGCAGAGGAAGAGAAGACACAGGAGTGAAGGCAGGAGGAAGGAAGCGGAGGGTACTCTGGAAATGGGAAGGGTTAAACTACCTCTCGGCTGTTCTCATTACTCCTTTGCTGGGTTTGGAGTCTCAGTCTGGAGTCCAACATGGTGTCAAGAGAGGCCAACAAGGTCTGGGAACTGGCCACCTCACCTCTTTCCTTCTCCACAGGAAACTGACCTGGGAAGAGGTAGAAGGTTAGAGGGGGTAATGGAATCTGGCTACAACCAGGGATTCCTGGGATGACCCCACACCAGGATGAAACAGACAACACTCAGGCCAGTGGTGGAAATGTGGGCTGGAAGCTGGGGGCTGACTCAGATCAAAACCCCACCCCATACCTGATGGTCCCAGCCAAGGAGCCACCACGGGTCTCACAGTGTCCCGCTCAAGGACTCCCAAAGACTAATTTGAAGACTGGTTGTCATATCATCAATACCTATTTGCCATCTCCCAGCACAGCAGGGAGACTTAGATCCCTGGAGACTCAGGTCTCTTCAGAGGAGAAAACAAATATGGCTGGCCAGGATCTCACTCTTCAGCATCATCCTGCATTATGTACCCTGCTCTACAACTCCCGTTTCTGTGTCAGTATGGTGTTGCCCAATGCAACAAATGGTGCCCAAACAGCGACCCCCACACTCTGCTTCTCAAGCCCGGAGAAGGGAATTGGATGTCCTCTCAAACCTGCCAAAGACTTCACACACTCAGAGTCTGCAACAAAGCAGTAAGAAGGTGTTTTTCAGTCATGTCTTTCCTGTTTTTTTCTTCCAAATAAGCCTGGTAAAAGGCCCACAGACCTTGAATCTGTGATGTTTTCAGTTAAATCTTTTCTTTTTCTCTTAACAATGTAAGAAATAATCCCACTCCCCCTCAGATTATGAAAAAACAATTACAGCTTTTCTATTATATCAGGGGTATGCTATGTCTGATAGGAAACTCACTCAGTTCTTGTTAGCAGTTAAAACCTGTTGTCCAGGGCTTCCTCAAATGAAAATCTTAAATTTGAAAGCTCAAAAAAAAAAAATCAATAAAATTTTTTAAAGTCACTTACACAGACTTAAAGATAACACTTGTTTCTCATCTTAAATTGTGGAACTTATGTAATTTGGCTATTAAGTCATTAATAAGAAAGTTTTTTTTTTTTTTACATCATTTTGTACATTTTTTTTTCCATCTCAATTGTA